TAACTAGGTTCTTGATTTGATACCTGTAAGTAGGAGAAACCTAGCTAGAGATAAAAATAATCTTGGAACAGCAATGAAAAAATCTGTTTAGAATGGAATGAAAATGTGCAAAGGGAAAAATAAATTTGAGCTAGAAATGGAACCCATGAAACAAGCAGAAGGCCTAGAGAAAGAATTATTTTTCTCTGGAGTTTAAGTGTTGTCCCTATTATATTCAATATGAGGACTAATTGAACCCCCCAAAGAAATGCTTCCTGTGTTCCTCAATATCAAGAATTAGATATATCAAACTTTTGTAAATATAGCTAAAGGAGTGCTTAAAGGGAACTTTGTAGCATTAAATGCTTATATTAGAAAAATATGAAAGTCTAAAATCAATGATCTAAGACACCAATTTAAGAAATCAAAAGAAAACAATAGCAAATTGAACCATAGTTCAATTCTTGCAGTTGCAGAAGAATAAAAATTAAAATGTACATTGGAAAGGAAGAAGTGAAACAGTCTTTATTCATGGGTAACATGATCATCTATATAGAAAATCCTATCTACAAAAAGCTATTAGAACTAATAATTTTAGCAAGGTCACAGGATACATGTCAATATACAAAAATCAATTATATTTTTAGGTACTAGAAAAAAATTAGAAATTTAAATTTTAAAAGTACCATTTACAACAATTTAAAAAATAAAATACTGAAAGAGCAGTCTAACAAAATTTGTGCAAGATTTGCACTCTGAAAACTACAAAACATTCCTGAAAGAAATTAAAGATGTCCTAATTAAATAGAGATATATACCATGTTCATGGGTTAGAAGACACAATATTGCTAGGATATCAGTTCTCCCCAAGATGACCTATATATAATCTCATTCAAAATCCTACCAACATTTTTATGGGAATCAACAAACTGCTTGTAAATTTTATATGGAAATTCAAAGGACCTGGAATAGCCAAAACCATTTTGAAAAAGAACAACAAAATTGAAGGACTAAGATTACCTGATGTTAAGACTTGCTATAAAGTTAGAGTAATCCAGACAGTGTGATACTTATGTATGACTAGACATATAGATCAATAGAAAAGAAGACAGTGTTCAGTTAAAGACTGAAACACATATGGTCAATTAATTTTCAAAAAAGATGCCAAGGCAATTCAACTGGGGGAAAAGATAATCGTTTCAACAAGTGTTGCTAGAACAACTGCATATCTGTTAAAAAGAAGAAGAGGAGGAGGAGGAGAATTGACTGAAAATAGATATAGGACTAAATGCAAGAGTTAAGACTGTAAATCTTCTACAAGAAAACATGGAAAATCCTTCGAGCATTGGGTTAAGCCAAAATTTCTTAGGATACGAAAAGTGTGAACCTTAAAGGCAAAATATTGATAATTTCTCAAAATTAACTATATTGAAAAAGCACATAAAATGGAATAAAAAAGGCAAGCAACAGACTGGGAGAAAATATATTTAAAAAAAACTTATATCTGATAAAGGACTTATATCCTATCTAAAGAATTCTTTCAACTCAAGAACACAAGAAATCCAATGAAAAATTTCAAAAGAAAAGAAAGATTTGAACAGACACTTCAAAAAAAAGAACAGCAAATAAATGTATGAAATAATATAAAATTAATGTAAATATATTTATATCTTTACAAGGAATTATGAATACATTAAAGGCCATGGAGATGGAATGTAGTACGGGGAAAATATTAAACATCATCACAGGACCAGTTTGCAAACAGTGAAGCCAATAGAGTAGCAGAAGCTTGGCTTTATAAAGAACCAACCACGCCAGACCACTTCAGCCCCCTAGTTACTGAATGGCAGGCTTGGTAGTTTATCAGAAGCAATAATCAGAATGTGCCTTGGCCCTGGCCAAATATTTAGATTTAGTCAATATGAAACTCTCATCACTAAAATTGGAAAATATAGTCTACAGTACTAGATGCAGCCCTAGCTGTGGGGTGATCTCTACATTGTCCTGGCACAGTGTGGAGAACAGAGGAAAAACATGAGTGTTCCAGACAGGGAATAGCACCTCTGAACTGCGGGTGATGAATATATGGTGTGCTTGCAGCATTAAGAGGTTTGCATGCATAGAACAGTGGGTGAAAAGTATATGTGTTTAGCGGGTGAGGGGAGAGAATCAGAGATAGATGGAGCCAGAATACAAAGGAGAAAGAGCAGGACCTTTTTCTTGAATTCCCCAGAGCTGTACTAGAAATCCTGACTGCTGGCACTAGCATCCAGGGAAGCTTCCTCCTAGTCTGGGGTTTTATTAGTTCCATCACTTGCTGCTTCTCCCTGCAATTAAATGAGCAAAACATTATAATACTGAGAAATAAATATAGAAGAATTTTTGATGTTAAGTAGACCACTTTTGATCTCCATTTTAATGTTGGAGAAGATTGTATACCTTTTAAGTTGATTCAGAAAATAGCCACATTCTTGGGAATTAGAAAAATGTAAAAGTACAAAAATTTACATTCCTGAGCCAAGAGAATAGAGGTGAGAGACTGTTGTTATAGAAGTAGGACAGACTCACATACTGGTTGCTAACCAGCTCTTCTCTATGACCTCAGGCAAGTCCTCTCTATGCTTTAATTTTCTTATCCATAAAATGGGGATAATAATACTGCTCCATTATCTGTTGTCTGCAATTCTGAAATTTAAAGAGCTCTGAAAACCAAAAATTGGTTTGGTTTGGTTTTAATTTCATAAGTTCATGGCAAACTCACTTGGTGGTGAAACCTGACCTGAACTTTAAAGCTTTATCATCATTTCCCAGTTGCTGTGACTGTTCATGAATTCTGAAGAAATGTTATGATTTGGTTATGGGGTGCTGCCCTAAATCCTGCTGGAGGTGTTTATAATATGTGCTCTATGAACTTTACCCCCTTTCTAAAATCTAAACAATTCTGGATTCTGAAACAACTAGCCCCAGGGATTTCAGATAAGAGATTATATACCTGTAATATCTTCTTCATAGGGTTATATGAGGATTAAGTTTCTTACAAAAGAGCTCAGAAAATGGTGAAGCTATTATGATTTATCATTATTTAAGCACAGAAATTAGATCCCTCACTCCCATCCCTGAGAATGAGTGAGGATTAACACCTGATGATGCCTAAGTTTATTCTTAGTACTTTTATATTTCAGTCTGTCCAGTTTGATTTATAGTATATCAATTATTGAAATGGAATGTTTCTCTGAACTCTCCTACTCTGAACACTTATCCTTCTTTTTTTGCAATCTTTACATACTTGGATGGCTGCCTTCTGGTGTTAGCTGTTGTTTGCCTTCAGGTGTTTGCTGACAGACTTATTTTTCAGTCGTCTTTCCTAAGGTGCATCTTATGAAACTCACAGTTAGATTGTACATCTCCTAACTAAAACACAAACAGATTTGCTTATTTTCTTGGAGTTCTCAATAAAAGTGAATTCTTGTATCCTAAGACAACGTCTTTGTTTGTAAAGTCGTTGGTTGAAAACATTAGAGCAAAAATATCCATCTAGATTTCATTCAGTGTTTCCCAAATAGACTTTTATTTTTGTGGTTGATTTTTGGCATACTTCCTATTTCTTCAAGCTATGTAAAACCCTTTTGCTGTGTCTAATCCTTGGCCTGCGGGCATGGAGAACTGATTATGCAATACACTTCTGGTACTGGGAAATTTCTAGCTGAAAATTTCATATACTGAAATACTTAGGATTAAAAGGAAGATTATTTAAATAAATATTATATTTCAAAAGGAAGAGACAAAACAATTATTTTTAAATGTGCTTTTTGGTAGGATATTTGCTTTTAGTCAGAGTTGGGTTGGAACATATCAATAATGAATCCCTTTGCCACTCTGGCTCCTGCTCCCCAGTGTCCTTCCCCTGGAAGGATGTTGCTGCCAGCCTATCATTGCAACCTGCATGTGTCTGTTTACCTTTGTTTGGGTAAGTGTTACTAGGTGCCCTACTCTTGGCCGGCAATTCCGGTGCTGGGGTGGTTTTACTCCAGCGTCAGAATGAGTAGGAATGCAGTGATGGGGCATTGACCCAGAGGACAGGGGTGATAAGGTTTAATACAGTGTAAGAATTAGAATGGAGACTTCCTATACCGATTCAGAGGTATAAGGGAAGCAACACAGGATGGGACTTTTCTTCCCCTTCTATTTGGTTCTGGGTCTCATGCTTTCTCCACCCTATTTTGCCAATTCTACAACCAACCAACCAACCACCGAACTTCCTCTCCCTGCAGAAGGAAGTGTGGGGAGGAAAAGTTTCATTCCCTTGTGAGTGAAAAGATCTACGTCTTGATCCTTCTGCTGCCATGATTTGCTGTGTTGCAGTGGGCCAGTCCTTTTTTTTCATGAGAGAATAAGATCAAATAGCCCCTTCTAGATCTTGCATTCTCCTAGGCTATGATATTAGAAGATAAGTTCAGTAGGTTGGGGGAATTTTTGCTTTGCCATTTTCTAGTTGGTTGACCTCACGTAAAATTTCTTTACTCTCTGCCAGATATTCCATTTTACAAAAAAACTTCCATAAACCCTAATTCCTATGAGTCTCTCTAGAGTATTGTTAAGGGCAGGATTAATTATAATCTGTTTAATATCACTTAATACATGAGAACAATGTTTTTCCATTTAGTTTCTGGTACTCTATAAAGCTGCTCATGGTATTAATCATTTAAACCCCTCTGAGACTCAGTTTCCTCATCCTAGAGAGAGGATAACAGGAAATAATGGTACAAATGTGTTTTCAATAAATGTGAAATCTTCTGTAGACATAGGATTTTATTTGAAGTAGAAAAAAATGATTAATTTGATTAATGAATATAACTCCCTCTAATAAGATTACTAGATGTTGTGTATATTGTAGCCAATGGTAAACATGCATCTGTAAAGGCTGTAAAAAATGGACATATTTTCCTTGCTCTGATTTGGAATGTGACCATATCTCTTCTTGGTTCTTTCCTTCCCTCTACCATCGGCCCATCTCTAAGCAGTATTCCACCGAACTGAAGAAACTGTACTGCCAAATTGCCAAGACATGCCCCATCCAGATCAAGGTGATGACCCCACCTCCTCAGGGCGCTGTCATCCGTGCCATGCCCGTCTACAAGAAGGCTGAGCATGTCACTGAGGTGGTGAAACGGTGCCCCAACCACGAGCTGAGCCGGGAATTCAACGAAGGTAAGAAGATTAGGAATTTGTGGCTGTTCGACTAAATTTCTTGAAAATAGAGATCCTGTGGAGATCTTTGTTTGGGGCCCACCTACCTGGTTGCAACCTCTGCAGTCTGAGGGCAGCTCAGTCTGTCTTTCTGGCCGACAGAGTGTCTGAGAATAATGATAAATAAGTTGGGGGCTCTCACAATGATTGAACTATTTAATTTTAATATTGATAGTTACTAGATGACCTGGGCTTGCCTCTCTACTCTCTAATGCTTCCTACCTTTTTTTTTTTTCAAATGAGAGGTTGTAAGGAGAACAACATGGAATCTAGTCTGTTCAGCCCAGGACAGGGAATCTTTCAGTTTTAGTGCTTTTCCCAGAGTGATTGTCAAGGCTAGACCAATTGAGAGCTGGAAGACCAATTCAGAGGAAGGAGCATCAAACATGAGAAATGAGAGAAAATAGAAGAGGAAAGTGGAAAGGAAGAAAAATAAATGAAGACCGTTAATGAGCAAGAGGAGTAAATAGAAGATCTAGAGCATAAGCTAGGGACGGGGAACTGGAAAGTGAAGGCCCGGGAGTCAGGGAGCAGGTATCTTGGAGCCACCTTTAAGCTCTGTACCTATGGATAAGTCATGCCCTGACTTCTGAGCCTCAGATGCAACAATAGGTTTACAGAAGAGGTCACTATTTCCAAGAGTTTCCTTACCTCTGATATCTAAGGTTCTGTGAAGGCGAGCTAAGTAAAGAACACAGAAAACTGGAAGGGAAGGACAGGAGAAAGCCAAAGGATTCATCAGAGAGTGATGAGGGGACAGGAAGGTTGGGAGTTAGGATCCTTTATATAGAAAATATATTCAAAATAGAAAGATTGGTATGTAGCTAGAATGTATGAATGTAGAGAATATAATGGATGATAGAGAAAAATTAATGGAGAAAGAGAATGGATAGAAATTTATAAAGAGAAAAGAAAGTTAAAATCCTCCCATCTTAACACAACTATTTTTCATGCTAATTCTAGTCCCTGTCCACATGACTTCACTAGCCATTCCTTTGCATCTTGCTTTTCTTTTAACAATATGCCATAAGGATTATTCCTCACAGCTAGGCTTCATTATAGGTTTCCATAATTGCCTTTGCTCCATCAAGATGATGTAAGTGTTTTTTTAAATTGTTTTCTCATTGTTTGACATAATAGTTATTTTCAGTTTTTGCCATAATAGATGATACTTCAGAGAGCACCTTGATACACTTAGCTTTTTACTTATATTAAATATCAGTTTTTGTAGAATAGGAATGTGTTGTCAAAGGTCGAGATTACCTGTATGGCTCCCAATTCTTGGAGCAGCTTCTTACTTTTGGAGCTCTGCCAAGTGTCACAATTTTGTGAAACTTTGACTATGCTCTTTTTAAAATTTGCTTCCCTGGGGCTGGCCCGGTGGTGCAAGTGGTTAAGTTCACCGGTTCGGATCCTGGGCGCGCACCAACGCACTGCTTGGCAAGCCATGCTGTGGCGGCATCCCGTATAAAGTGGAGGAAGATGGGCACAGATGTTAGCCCAGGGCCAGTCTTCCCCCGCAAAAAAAAAAAAAAAAAGAGGATTGGCAGATGTTAGCACAGGGCTGATCTCCTCACACAAAAAAAAATTGCTTCCCTTTTCTTATCCTCCAACCTGGGGCTTTTTCAGCACAACAAACCAGTAAGTTTCTCATCTTTATGACCAAAGCAAAGTCTAAAGATGGACACTTGATGATGGAGAAAAGAATAGGCGAAGTCAAAGTTATATCCTGGCCACCTGTTCCCATTTATTAAGTATTTTTGCTGGTCAATTTGGGGGCAGCATCTTCTCTCAAGTTGATTCTTTTTATTAATTTGCTCCTTTTTGCCTTCCATTTTCCAGGAATGCTGGAAAATTCCCTTTATGGATCAGATCAGAGATATAGTCATAGAGTTCTATAAAAGCTTGAGTCGTTAACCTTAGACACTAGAAACACAGGACTATTCCCTTAAATATAGATGAGCATCCCGGTCCTTTCTGTTACTATAAAGGTTATGACACCTTCATGTATTAGATATCTGGCAACAGGATCATTCCTTTTTTCAAGGATGTATATTTCCTCTATTACATGAACTATTTCTTTGGCCACCAGCATTCTGTCCATGCAGTTTTGTTTTCTTTATTTTGAGGGTGAAGAACTAACTGTTTTGTCTTTCTCTGTTCTGCAGGACAGATTGCCCCTCCTAGTCATTTGATTCGAGTAGAAGGGAACAGCCATGCCCAATACGTAGAAGACCCCATCACAGGAAGACAGAGTGTGCTGGTACCTTATGAGCCACCCCAGGTAAAAAGATAAGGACTGGGCAGACTTCAGAGAGCATTAGTTTTGGTGATAGAGGGTGTTTGAGCATCTGTTTCTGTCTTAGTCCTTGTCGTTAAATATGTAACTTCTTTTATATTCTATCCCTCTTCTCCACAGGCCTCATCTCTATCCCCTTCAAAATCTCCTGAATTTGTACTAAATTAACTTGCTAACATGGCTCTGTGCCCATATTCCCATCTTAAAGGCAGATAGTAATTGAACTTGTAATTGGATTAATACATGACATTATCTTATCCAGAGAATTTAACTGGAAATTGAACTGGACGTGCATCAATCCTGGATGCAGATATTCTTACACTAGCTTGCAGATGAGAGACCCTAAGATGTATCTCTTAGCTGAAGTTTAATTGTATTTATTTATTTTTTCCCCCAAAGCCACAGTAGATAGTTGTATGTCATAGTTGCACATCCTTCTAGTTGCTGTATGTGGGACGCCGCCTCAGCATGGCCGGAGAAGCGGTGTGTCGGGGCGCGCCCGGGATCCGAACCCGGGCCGCCAGCAGCGGAACGCACGCGCTTAACCGCTAAGCCACGGGGCCAGCCCACTTAGCTGAAGTTTAAATAAACAGGTGGCATATTAGAAAAGCAGAATGGGGCTGTGCAAAGAACACTGGAGTAGTGAGGACAGGTCTTTTGGTTTGCTGGCTTGCTGTGTGGACCTTTAGCTTGTGACTCTCCCTCTCTGGGCTTCTGTTTCCTCATCCATAAATGAGCACTTGGGACTAGATGATTTAATTCTGAGGACCTTTTAAGTCCCAGAGTGTAATTTATGGAAGCATACATTCAAATCTAGGTTATACTGTTTTATCCAAATAGGGAAAATATCTCTGGAGCCTTGTTGCTCTATTTGGTAATTTTTTCAGCTCTCCCTTTTCAATAATATTCATATATGTGACATACCTTGTTTGAATTGGGTGATAAAGATCAGCTTGCAAATGAATAGGGTCAAAGATCATTATTTTTTAAAGCCTATTTCACCTAATATATGGTGCAAAGATAAGCTTTAAGCTTCCCAAGAGGCAAGGCAAAGAGGAATCTACAATGGGTTAGAGCTTGCTTCATTGGAAGTGGAGTTGTTTAAATAGTGGGAAGAACCAAGAAGGAGGAACATCAGTTCAAACCATTGTTAACACGCTCTCTTTCCCCTGTGTTCAGGTTGGCACCGAATTCACGACGGTGTTGTACAATTTCATGTGTAACAGCAGTTGTGTTGGAGGGATGAACCGCCGTCCAATTTTAATCATTGTTACTCTGGAAACCAGAGAGTAAGTGGCGTATGCAAAATTGTCACTCTGCAAAAACCATGGGCAGAAGGCAAAGTGAAATTGTGTCTGCTTTATCATTCACTTCGCATATACAACAAAGAGCTCCCCTTGCCTTTGTCCTTTGTGTTTTAAATCCTTGCTGCAAACACATAAAAGATCTAAGAAAGTAGAGACAGAACAGGGTGGATAAAGGCAGAGGGAAAAAAAGAACCAGGAAGGCATGCAAGTCACTTCATACCTGAATTCTTGACATTTGACTGGAACAGTTTCTGATTAGACAGGGTTTGTTTTCCTGTGGCCCCCAAGGCATTTAACAGTTTCTTTGAGTAAGTCTGGGCTGCCTAAGGGGATTTTATCCGGAGACATCCACTGGCTTAACTCAAGTTTCCTTCAAAATATGTAGCTAAATACAGCTGTTCAGCTAATGGCTTGGAGGTTCTTTGCAGAACAAATGGAATGTTATTTACTAATATTGCTTGTGGCGTGTAAGCACTTTTGTGTTCTGCCAAGCGCTTTTGGGTCCATCCTCAAAGCAGCCATGATTGAGCGGGTGGTGGTGGTGCACTGGTGATGGTCCGCAGCGGAAGTGGAAATGAGAGAACGCCAGGGGACTTTTAAAATTCTTTTAGTCTAACCCCTTCTTCCCCTCTTCCCTAATTCCTAGTGGGCAAGTCCTGGGCCGACGCTGCTTTGAGGCCCGGATCTGTGCTTGCCCAGGGAGAGACAGGAAGGCGGATGAAGACAGCATCAGAAAGCAGCAAGTCTCGGACAGCACAAAGAACGGCGATGGTACGAAGCGCCGTAAGTAGCTGTAGTGGCCAAACGGGGTAGGGTTGAGTCTTCTCCCGATATGGGGACTGGCGGGTGATATTTGAGAAGCTGCATGTTAAGATCTAAGGGCTTTAGGGGCAAGTATGAGTTGAGACCCCAGAGCTGGTGGGAACAGCTATAGCATTGATGGAGGTGCTGAAATGGACTCCGGGTATGCACCACATAAGCAAGAGTCTTGGTGAGGATTCCTTAGTCCAGTAATCCTCAAAATGTGACTCCCAGACCTGTAGGATTAGCATCATCTGGAAACTGGGTAGAAATGCAAGTTCTTAGTTCCCAGACTTGCTGAATCAGAAACTCTGGGGGTGAGGCCCAGCAATCTGTGTTTTGTAAGCCCTCCAGGTGACTTGAAGGCTAGCTTGAGAACCCGTATCTTAGCCTCTTGGTATCAGCTTATCATTCTGTTATTGAGCATGAGGGTTGAAAATAACATCTTCCTACCTCATGAGTCTGTGGGAAGAGGGGGATTTAAGAATGCGTTTCATAAAGCATAGCCTGGGGAATATGCAGATCTGGTTTTCACTGAGTCTTGACGTGATAGATGTGATCCTCTTGGGGCCCCAGTTACCTCACGTTAGTGAGGCTAATGGTTTAGGGCAGTTGTTTTCAAACTTGTTTTTCTAAGCAGTAAAAGCAGTTTCAAAAACAGAATATTTCAAGGACCCCACAATGCAAAACAGATGAATGCAGAGCTGCTCTAGTTGAAGGGGACAGGACTTGGGGGTGGTCTGCAGCTCCACGCTCTACTCACAACCACACCTTGCCCATGAGGTACACCCCCACAGAGGCCTAGCTTTTCAGGTAACAAAGTTTGAAAACCATTGATCCACATGTGCTTCTAACTCGTGAGATTTAATTCTAGAAGTTGCCTTGCATAAGCCTGATATCACTATAACAAGTATTTTAAAGTATAATGCACTATGACTTATTTCATGAAAAAAGGTTTTAATCTCATTACTGATTAGTATCCAGAAGAGATAGAAATTGTATTGCATTTTACAGAACAATAGAATGCTGTGACTAGTCACCGTCAGCTTATAGCTGTTCAGTATGATTTGCTTTTTCTGTTAGTCTCTTACTCTCTGTCATTATTCCTTAAAAAAACATGTATATATGTTATTTATATATATAAATACTTTGATCTCCACCTAATTTTGCTCTTGAGTCTGCCTGGTGGCATAGTTCCTGTATTCTTCGCCAAGCATCTCAGTTACCTACAAACTAATGACTTTCAGTAAGGACAGATTATTTGCAGTTTGGTAGAAGGATCATCTCTTTACCCTGGATCCTGAGTGTTGTTTCCAATTTTGGAAACCTTAGGGATTTATGAGCTTAATTCACTCATTTTACCAAGGAGGAAACTGAGGTCCTGGAGGGTGAGACTGCTTGTCAGAAGTTATGTGATGTATGTACTAACATGGGAGGGGTGAATGCACAAGGCTGAATGCACTGGCAAGACAGCCTCTCAACATGCATTTACCTCGTTGGAAGATAAATGACCTGAAAAATAAAACACAAAACCTATTTCTCTTCCTTTCCTTAACATCTGCTCGTAGACACACGCCAGTAAGACGCAGGGATTCCTGCAGTACTCCTTAAGCCAAAGGCCATTTCCCAGCGTCCCGAATTTCTTCCTTTCACTTGTTCTGCCTCACCTTCCCTCCACCTCATTACTGTTAGGTCTACACTTACTGTAAAAGCAATCATCACCAGTTAAATGGATGCTTAGAACTAGAAGCTCTAATCTCACAAGTTTTGCTGGTGCTATTGTCCATTTAATAAATGTATTATTGCTTCAGAAGTGTTCCCAGGATGAAACTTGCGTTTTTCCTCCACCAGCTTTTCGTCAGAACACACATGGCATCCAGATGACATCCATCAAGAAACGAAGATCCCCAGATGATGAACTGTTATACTTACCAGTGAGTCTCCCTTGGGTCTTCATGATTGCTTGCTTTTCACCTTCTCTGAAGGAGCTTTTACTCTGTGGTCATCTTCTGATCATCTGTGGCAGTGAGAAAGGGGTGGTGGTGGATAGTGAGATAAAACAGAGAGAATATGTTTCTTGAAAAAATGAGGAAATTATCCCTTCCTTCCACAGTTTTGGAATATATTAATAGTGTGTGCTCTACTTACTACTCACTTGGTCAAAGCTACCCTCCTAATAGAATTTTTCTTGCCCAAATATTTAAAATGAATCTGTACCTCATATTTAAGCATGATAAGTTGATCCTAGACAGCATGGCCATACCAATTTAGCACTAAAATTTTGTCTGAAGGAGTTCACAAAGTTGATAATACAACAATTATGGAGAATTGACTGTGATTTCTTTTAGGGAGTGCTATAAAGAACGCCCAGCAAGGTAGAATCCTCTGTTGTATGTGCCTGGCCAGAAGACTTGGCCCAATTGTTGTGTAAGAGCATTGTTCATTCCTACAAGGAACATTAGTCCTCTCAAGGTCACTGAGGTGCCCTTTTGTAGACTATGATTGCAGTTCATTGAATTCTTATTACCTTAGGGCTTTGCCATCTACAGCAGCAGCAAAGTTTTGGTAACCAGTATAGCCCTTGACGCCATCTAAACTGACATGCAACACACGCAAGCAAGGCCAGGGGATTTGACTGGGAGCTGCCACCCTGGCATTGAAGCTAAAGCAACTCAACAGGTTTGGGTGTGCCATACGTGCTTCTCTCCCTTATTTGGGCCCTGTCGTCAGGGGAATAGGTTGCTTGCTGGCAGAACAATCAAGACAGTGAGTTAGCCAATATTCTCAGTGTCTTGTTTCTCAGGCTGCATATGGAAACTGACTTGGGAACTTTCAGTTAAACCTTTCCTTGATATACTAAATATTACAAAAGGCCTAATATGTTTGCAACTGCTGAGATAGGAACCACTTGAAAAGCTATGTTTTTTAATGAAATTTCAGTTTGTCCTAATGAAGGAGGCACCCAGTAATCAGTTACATCTTACGTTTAGTGAAGAGTTACCCAATCTGAAGTGTGTGAAGAGAGAAAAAACTCTTTTAATTTAACAAAATTTGGTTTATATTTGTTGAGTGGCAAATATGCCAGACCCTGAGCATTTAGAGATAGTAGGATATAATTCTTACCTTCAAAGAGCGTGCCTCCTAGTGAGGAGACAAACGGTTACAATGTAATGAAATAAATACTTCAGTGTTGCTGGGCGTGATGCTGTGGGAGCACGTAGGATGGACAGGAGACTCGACCTAAAAGAGTGAGGTCAGGAAAAGCTTCTCAGGAAAGGTGACCCCAGAGCTGGGAGGAGTAGGAGTTAACCCAACAAAAGCTAGAGAAAATCTTTCCATTTCTGACTTCTGACAAACTCTGCCTCTTGTACTCAGGGAGGGACAGGGGTGAGGCAGGTGAAGGGTGCCCAGGGTGCAGAATTTAAATACACACTCACTCTCAGGCCCTGCAAGTGCCCTGCGTGCCTGCTGGCCTCACCCTGGTCCTGGCCCTGCTCATACTTTTTAGCATGAGACTGTCGTAAAGAGAGAAGCACATTTTGCCCAGCTAAAAACTTCGTCCTTCCAAAGATAGTTACAGTTAACTCTCGTTATTTGTGGTAGTTATGTTTTGTCACATCATTGTGAACACTGTACTTGCAAATACTGAATCATTGCTCTTAGGGGAAATACAGGGTTAGGTTCCTACGAGCCTCTGGTCACAACGTTTCAGCATCTGCTCAATACAAAACCTTGTTTTATATGTGTTTCTCTTTAAAGACAGTTTATTTAATATATACTGTTGATTCATTAACACTGTAACTCATGCCTGAACGAAGCTTATCTAACATGTATTTTCTCCATAAGACACATCACAGCCTTCTTGTACTTAGGAATGCTAGACAGCACTTCAGCACTATACTTGGGAACCATTTGAAAAGCAAATTATCAACAAAAAATGCAGAAATGTGAAAAATTTGGCACCAAATAGACCAGGAAAAGGACACTTGTTTGCAGCATGAGAGCTGAAACAAGAAGGCAGAGCAGCACCTTGTTCCACCTCAGCTGGCATGCATGGGTGACTCAAATTTTTTTGTCACCCTGCACATGTCTGCGAATGATCACAAAACGCTGCGAGGGTAGATTTTCAGCTTATAAATACATGTTAGCAAGTAGGCGAATTCGCCAATACAGAATCCACAAATAATGAGGATCGACTGCACTTCTGACAGCTCTACAGTTCTTCATGTTTTCTTTTCTTTCCTTCTGCTCTCTTCCATAGGTGAGGGGCCGTGAGACTTACGAAATGTTGCTGAAGATCAAAGAGTCCCTGGAACTCATGCAGTACCTTCCTCAGCACACGATTGAGACCTACAGGCAGCAGCAGCAGCAGCAGCACCAGCACTTACTTCAGAAACAGTGAGTGTGTCAACGTGTCATTTTAGGAGGCCTGAAGAGGTTGTGAGACCGCAGAACATAACAGGTTCTGACAAGCTGGTGTGGGGCTCCTTTTTCAGTTTCAACAAACTTCTACATTTCTTATCATAACCTTCCCTGTAAGAAATTCCACCTATATTCTGAAATTGAATACAAACTATTTCAGATGAATTATAAAGAGACTCACACTAACAGTTAGTTCTCTTCTCTATACTCTTGATCCATACATATCTATCAATAATAGAAATTTGAGCACACACTCTATTCTAGTAATAATGTGTATATTTAAAAACATATAATCTTCCCTCACCCCAATGGATTGTCTTGTACATCTCCTGGGATGCACAGAGTCCACTTTTGGGAAATCAGTTATAGACTAGGGAGAGCACATAGGTTTTACTATATAGTGACTCCTTTGATTGCTGTGTTGAGGAGGATTCTGAGACCTAGTGGATGCTCATTGGGAAAATGTCTGGATACAGAAGGGCAGAATAGCATCACATTGCCATGCTTCAGCATCTCTGCTCTGGGTTGTCTTCCAGCAATGCAGTACATTTTTACATAAATTGGGCCAGATTTTGCAAACACATTAGAATATATGTACACTCTATTTATATGTTAATTTTTACCTTGACTCTTGGATCTTTGATGATGTTAATTGTTTTATGACTAACCAGAATAGAATAGTTCTGATGAAAGGAAGGGAAGTTGGTGAATCAGAGATCTGTTTATATTTATCCTTCTGTGGTTAAGAATTATCACTTGTTGGCTTAATTAAGATATTTGTCTGTACTGGAAGTATTGCCAGAGTCTCTGAAGATAAATGTAAAATGTGTATATTTTGGGCCCATTTGAGTAATTCAAACATTTGACTTTACTCTTCAGGCAAAAAGAAATGAAGCCAAAACCATCTTGCCTAAGGCAAAGATTGTCTTTTACAAGAGAAATGTAAATCAACAATAAATAATGGTTCTTTTCTGGTATATTATTAGCTACTATAGAGAGATAGCTATGGAAAGTGTAAGAAAGAGGGCTCATTTTTCTTTTTTTTAACATCAACATAAATTCAATTGAGGAGGCAGGGCTGCATCTCTGATAGTCAGGAAACATCCTTGAGTACCTAGGGGCTATAGGGTGTGGGATGAGCAGCAGAGGGATAAAAATGAAGTGACTCTCTTTAAAAGACTTGAGACTAGTTGAGTATTCAAGGCTCTTTTTTGCCTGGAAGGGATCTCACCATTTACTTTTAGCATGAAAGTTTTGCAAATCGTGATTATAAGCTTTTATATGTAAGGCTGAGTGGAAGGTTTAATCAGGAAGTTACTTGAGGATACAGAGCATTTCGAAGGAGAATTAGAATTCAAGGTACAGGGCCGGCCCCGTGGCTTAGCGGTTAAGTGTGCGCGCTCCGGTGCTGGCGGCCCCGGGTTCGCGTCCCAGGCGAGCACCGACGCACCACTTCTCCGGCCATGCTGAGGCCATGTCCCCCATACAGCAACTAGAAGGATGTGCAGCTATGACATACAACTATCTACTGGGGCTTTGGGGGGGAAAATAAATAAATAAATAAAATTATAAAAAAAAAAAAAAGAACTCAAGGTACAGACAAATTCCCATTGCCAATCCTATAGATCTTTTAGGATATCAGATAGAAATATGTTAATATGTTCAAGTGTAAAACTGATTTAGTTCTTATAAAATCATACAATAAGGATCAAAGAATCAGACCTGTAAAATCATTTACAGACCCAGAGGGGATATATGCCTTCCCTGAGATGTGCATGTCATGATATTTGAGAAACACTCCTAAATTGCCTCCAGTTCACTCTGGTCATGTTTAGCTCAGTCAAAATGACCTCAGAAGAATTACACAGTAGCATATCATGCTGAACTAGTTGCTCTGTGATAATTTCCTGTTTTTTTTTCTGGTTAACAGGAAAAGTTGTTTCAGGTCAAATTGATATTTATTAAATGGTGTGATTTAAAATATCTAACCGTCTAGCACAGGGGTCAGCATACATTTTTCTGTAAAGGATCAGTAGTAAATATCTTAGGCTTTCTGGCCCGTATGGTCTCTTGCAGCTCCTCGATTCTGCCTTTGCAGCACAGAAGCAACCACAGACAATATATAAACAAATGAGAGTGGCTATTACAATAAAGCTTTATTTTGTGAACACTGAAATTTAAATTTTATATCATGAGCTATTCTTCTTCTTTTGAATTTTTCCCACCTTTTAAAAATGTAAAAAGCATTCTTAGCTTATGGGCTCATTCATTGTAGTTTGCCAATCCTTGTTCTAGATAAATGAGTGCCTCTTCCTTTATTGCTTCTTGAGGCTCAGATTTTTTTGGTGGGAGTATTTGGAAGCTAATATGTATATTCTAAAATAGAGAGATAGAAGAAGGTCTTAGGAAATCTTTTAAGGTGACATTTCAATATCTACCAAAATGACAGCCTTTAAGAGAGATCTCTTTTGTCTGAGAAAGTTAGGCATGCCCATCCAGACACAGAATATGGTTAATGAGGGAACCATATCATCAGCTAAGACTGGAGTAGTTGACTTGATTCATGTGGCAAACTTTTACTGAAGATCTGCTTTGTGAAAACATTAAGGATAGAGATGAGAAAGATGAGGTTCCTGCCTTCCCATTGTTTACAATTTCATGGTGAATTCCCAACCAGAACACCTTTTGAGTCTTAAGAAGGCTCTGGAGATTTATTCTCAGCATCGTGTAAGTTAATAGGACAATTTTAAACAGCTTCTCTAGATCATACAATAAAGGGAATAGTTTTGTGTCATAGTTTTAAAGACTTTACAAGCTAAGAGGATCTACCTCAGTCAGTGGAGGGCATATGTTATTTGTGTTTGTTTACATGGCATACAGGAAAATACATAGCCCTTTGTTCCCAGATGATGAGTTGTTCAGTGCTTAAAACTTATCCAGTCTGACTGGCTGGCATTGCTCTAAAGGGAAATTATTTGATTTATAATACATATTTCATAAAACAGTCTATTTCATCAAAGAAGAAAATGCATCTTAAAGTTGGGTTATTTTAAAAAGCCCAAAAGATTTTAGAGATATATTTTCACTTTTTTGTGTGTGTGGCCACAGATAAATAGAGAAGAATTAGTAGCTTCATAGTTCTCTGGGGTGTCCATTTAAAAGTATCACTGCATGTTTTTGAGTTGTTATCTCACAGTGTATAAGAGCTAACTTCAGCTGTGATAACTTGTGCGTGGAAATCTAACAGACTGCAAAATGAAATCTTGGCACAATATAGACGTTTGGTCTAATTATGCCTTTGTTACTTACATATACATGGGTCTCCAATGATTAATATACATCTATATAAATTCTCCAGTTGCTATATTCTTCAGCTAAGTTTTTTTCAGCTCTTTTATTTTCATGTAAAGCTCCAAGAAAGAGCATGAATGACTAGACAAAGAAAAATGGAAATCTAATTCCCTGGCAATCATTTGAAAACAATAAATCAGCCTGGAAAATGCCTATGATAGCCTGTGATTTCCTTTCTAAAAACATAGTACCAATTTTATGCTGGTAAGGAATCAATTTTGTACTTTTCTTTATAGTAGAGGGAAAATAAGTGGGAAGGGAATACACTTTCTACAAGGTGGCAATACAATATTTTCAGTTTAATTACTCCTATTAGTTTCCCACTATACGTTTTCTTTCTGCTTGCTTTTCATTTGTGCATGGTTTTCCTTTTTCAAAAATTCCTTCACAATTACCTTCATGATCATAGGCTTTATGGAGGATAAATTTTAAACTGAGGTTTTGTAAATCAAATTGTTATAGATGTAAGTAGGCTTTATACAAAGAAATTTGATTTTAGTTGATTTGCTCACATTGTTATAAACAAAGGGGGTTATGTTTATAGAAGCCAGAATCTGTTGGGAGGACAGATTGGACCCATTCTTAACACTAGACTCCTTGCCTTCATATTTTCAAGGGACATTAACTCTTAAGACAGCTTTGCAGAAGCCACTTGAGACCTAGCCTAGTTAGCAATCTTTTAACTTATGTACTTTAGACCAATATTATTTCTTTTTCATTTTTTTTCCTGTAGTTTATCCTCCTTCTTGGCTTCCATCCTGACCTCAGAACAACATCACTTTGTTAAAATTTTACCTACCCTAACTTTTGCTTTCATCTGGAAAATTATTCTTGAGTTTCTATGGGATGAATTCATTTTAATTTTAATACAAATATGTGGCATCCTTAGGGGTTCCTTCTTCTTTATGATCACTTATGATTGTGGCTCATTAGTAATATAGGTCGGAGAGTACTGGAGCAGAGCGGGATCCTCAAGACCATGGTTCTGACCCCTTCATTCTGTAGCTGGGAAAACTGAGGTCCAATGAACTACACCTGTGATTTCATAGCCAGTTCATAATAAAGCTAAGACCAGAATCAGATTTGGAAGACAGAGCTCTTTGCAATGTTCTGGTCTGCTTCATTAATTAAGAAAGTTGCAAGAATAAAATTAAAGCAAGCATCTATTCCCTCTTTTCTGTCTCTGTTTCACTCAGTTGATATATATATATATATATTTTTTTTTTGAGGAAGATTGGCCCTGAGCTAACATCTATTGCCAATCTTCCTCCTTTTTTTCCTTTTTTCTCCCCAAAGCCCCAGTAGATAGTTGTATGTCACAGTTGTACATCCTTCTAGTTGCTCTATGTGGGATGCCACCACAGCATGGCTTGATGAGCAGTGCGCAGTTCCATGCCCAGGATCCGAACCAGCGAACCTTGGGCCGCTGAAGCTGAGCGGGCGAACTCAACTGCTACACCACCGAGCCGCCCCCTCAGTCAGTTGATATTTATCTTTGTGGTTTCAGTGTCAAGTACGATCTCCTTAAGCTCATTTGTCTGTGATTTTCTTCAAGAATGTTGGTAGTTTTTCCTCAGATTTGCATATCTGAGGGAGAAACAAGCAATATTTTCAGGATTATCAAT